GAGCCCTCAAATTCTGCAGCTACTCAAGAATTTTCCAGCATTTTATGGAACCCGAAGGTTCATTACCATGCTCACAAGAGCCCTCCACTGGTCCCTATCCTGAGCCTGATCTATCCAATCCATACCATCCCATCTCCTATCTCTCTGAGATCCATTCTATTATTGTCAACCCACCTACGCCTTGGTCTTCCTTGTGGTCTCTTTCTTCCCTGCTTTCCCACCAATATCCTATACGCATTCCTCGTCTCCCCCCATTCGTGCTACATGATCTGCCCAGCTCATCCTCCTTGACTTGATCATTCTAATGATACTTGCAGAAGAGTACAAGTTATGAAGCTCCTCATTATGCAGTTTTCTCCAACCTCCTGTCACTTCATCTCTCTTCGGTCCAATTATTCTCAACACCCTGTTCTCAAACACCCTTACTCTATGTTCCTCCCTTAGTGTCAGAGACCAAGTTTCACATCCGTACAGAACCACAGGCAAAATTATAGTTTTGTATATTCTAATTTTTATGTTTTTGGACAGCAGACGAGAAGACAAAAGGTTCTGGACTGAATGGTAGCAAGCATTACCTGAGTTCAATCGCCTCTTAATTTCCTCCTGAATCAGTTTTCGATCTTTTATCGTTGTTCCCAAATATCTGAAGTGTGCAACATTTTCAAAACATTTGTTTCCTATCATTATGTCAAGATTTTGCCCTGTATTTTGGTGACGAGACAGTAACATATACTTAGTTTTCTCAGTGTTTACTTCTTGACCAACCTCTTTATTTGCGTCAGTTAAAGTTTGTGTGTTTTTCTTTATGGTATCTACATTATCACCCAGTAGATTCACATCATCGGCGTACACCAGCAGCTGATGTGTCCCGTTTAATTTCAGTTCCAGCTGGTTTCCCTGGACCTTCCTAATTGCCTACACTAAGGTAAAGTTGAAAAGTAGTGGCGATAAAGTATCTCCTTGTTTTAGACCATTCTGGATAGGAAATTTATCAGACAAATGTTTACCTACACAGAATTTACTATACGTTTCGTTTAAACATATTTTAATGAACCTAACTACTCGTAGTTTCAATATCTTCCCATCAGGAGATGTTCAAGTAAAATTATGGATATTACGATGTGGGAACATTGTATTTTTGACAGTAAGATTTTCTGATGTGGCAAAGTTTACAACTCTTAACTCCATTATCATTACTAATTTCATGCAAACTCTCATTCCCAATTGTTGGTTTGAAAATGTCTTCCCTCCCTACTTTGGCATTGAAATCTCATAACAAATTTTCATAGGGTATTTCGGGAATTTATCAAATACATGTTCTAGTTCTTCATAGAGTCTATTCTTTATGTCATAAATTTTATCTTCTGTTGGGTCGTGAACATTCATAACAATGATATCACACCAGCGACCTTTTAGTATTATATATGATATCCTATCACTAATGAATTCTACCCTCTTAACTGCTGATACGATTCCCTTATGTACGAAAAAACCTGTACCTAATTCATGATTTTCAATCCCCTTTCCATAGAAAAATGTATAGTCTCCTGCTGGTGCGATGCTACCTCCATCCCATCTGACCTTTTGCACTCCCGCTAAATCTAACTTATATTTTAAGATTTCTTCTGCCACTGCCCTGAGGGAACCTGCCCTATACAAACTTCGTACATTCCAAGTGCCAAATCTCATATCCATTTTCATTAGCTTAGGTCGTTTATCCAAGGAATCCGTCCAGGTCCGAGGCTTCTTGAGAATTTTCGTAACAAGTTTATATTTTACGGTGAGGAGTTGTTAGCCCTACGCCAAACCCCCAAGCTGGAGGGCCACCCCTTGTCGGCTGTCCGCGACTGCTTATTCAATATATTCGCAGCTTTCCTCCAAAACTTGAGGGCGTCTCCTCCATCCGCAACCTGAGGACGCGCCATGCCGTGGTGACAGGGACCCACCTTCGTCAAGAGGACTGACATCAAAAATCATTACGATGGACATACAAGGGACTGAACCCACGTACAGCTGTATTAATGAGCTGATTAAAGTTTGTAATTGTGATTCAATTGCTTATATATCCACAATTTTAGACTGAACAAGCTTTCCTGGAAAATTTGTGTCCGTTGTTCGTCAACTCTCTACTGAGCGTAATTCCTGTTTAATTATTTAATTTTGTTATAGTAACTCAACCAGTTCAGTGGGTTTAATCTATGCAGTAAACCTATTTTGCTTTTATAACAGCTTTTTAACTTGGTTAAGATAAAATCTTCACTTAGTTAAATAGAATAATATTAAGTTGTATTTTTTATTTCAGTATTCAATTAGCTGGTCTGTTGTTCAAGCCTGGCCATTGCTAAATTGTGAGATATTATTTGAACGAAATACATTACACTATTTTATTTAGTTATGTGATTGACATCAAATTTCTCTAATATTTCATGCATTTTTTCGAAGAGATTCTGTTATCATAAATACTGAATTTTCTCTTTCGTAACCCTCAAACGCTAAACATACGACTGGATGACATTTTTGAGAAGCTCATGGAACGTTTTGGCCTCTCAATTGCAACAACTGAGTCATGAAATTCAATTCGATTTCTGCACATTGTGGCATATATTTCTATACAGTGTAGTATGAAACATTCTCAGCGGTGTTAGATATACAATATTGTCACTTACATGTTTTGGGCTTGAATTCTGGCCATGGGATAGGAAGATGAAATGAGGGTGTCTGAGAATTTTGGATATAGTTTCGTACGAGTGTGAAACTTGATCTCTGACATTAATGGAAGAACATATACTGAAGATATTTGTAAACAGAGCAATATCTGGACCGAAGGGAGATGAAATGGTAGGAGGTTGGAGAAAGTGCATAATGAAGAGCATTAAGAACTTGTACTCTTCACAAAATAAAATTAGAATGATAAATCCAAGGAGGGTGAGATGGGCAGGGTATGTAGCACTCATGGGGAGAAGAGAAATGCATATAGGATTTTGATGAGAAAGAGACCACTGGGAACTGGTCTTAGAAAAATTGGATGGTGTGTTGATCTGACTAGGGACACGGACCAGTGGAGGTCTCTTGAGAATACGGTAATGAATCTTCAGCTTCCCATTAAATGTTGGAAACCTCTTGAGTAGCTGAGCGATTGACGGCTGCTCAAGTAGGGCTCAGCCCCATGGAACAGAGAAGGGGGTGCCGAGGAGGATATTTGTTAGTAATAGAAGGCAGAACAAATTTGCACAATTAGCTTAGCAGTTTATATTCTTCATCAAAACTGTTCTTAACGTGATCAGAAAAGAAGGACAAAGGCCGTATAGAACGCACGGGGTAAACGAGAAATGCATAAAATTTTCAGTAGGAAAACCTAAAGGGACACTTGAGAGTGTAAGCATAAATGGGAGACTAATTTTGGATTCTGTGATGGGCTTTTCTGAACACGGCCATGAATACTCGAGTTCTAGAAAAGGGTGGAATTTCTTGGGTAGCTGAGCGACTCCTAGCTTCTCAAGAAGGACTCTGGATATGCGGAGTTATTTATTCGGGATTTTTTTTTTGTGTTTCATATTGGTTACTTACTTACTTACTTACTCATGGAGCTGAGCCCTTCTGGAGGAGCCGCCAATTCTGCAGCTACTCAAGAATATCCCAGCATTTTATGGAACCCGAAGGCTCATCACTGTGTTCACAAGAGTCCTCCACTGGTCCCTATCCTGAGCCAGATCAATCCAATCCATACCATCCCATCCTATCTCTCTAAGATCCATTCTATTATTGTCCACCCACCTACGCCTTGGTCTTCCCTGTGATCTCTTTCCTTCTGGCTTTCCCACCAATATCCTATACGCATTCCTCATCTCCCCCATTCGTGCTACATGACCTTCCCACCTCCNGTTTTTGGACAACAGACGAGAAGACAAAAGGTTCTGGACTGAATGGTAGCAAGCATTACCCGAGTTCAATCGCCTCTTAATTTCCTCCTGAATCAGGTTTCGATCTGTTATCGTTGTTCCCATATATCTGAACTGTGCCACATTTTCAAAACATCTGTTTCCTATCTTCATGTCATGATTTTGCCCTCCATTTTGGTGACGAGACAGTAACATATATTTAGTTTTCTCTGTGTTTGCTTCTAGACCAATCTCTTTACTTGCATCAATTAGAGACCTGTATAGAGCAATAAATGACTTTAAGAGGGGTTACCAGCCTAGCAGTAACTTAGTGAAGGATGAGAATGGTGATCTGCTTGCAGATTCCCACAACATTTTGAATAGGTGGAGGAACTACTTCTCTCAATTATTTCATATTGAATGCCGTATGCAAAAAACAAAATGTATATTGAGAGAAGAATTAGCTACAGAATTTATAACAAGAATATTTTATGTTTTAAAATTCTTTGTCTCCTATTTTCAAGAATATTGTATGATTTATACTTGATAAAACCTGACGGACATCACATCTTTTCTATCCGGGGAAAAATAAGGTTTATTTGTTAGGATGTTGTGAGGAGGACCTGAGAGATTTACGGGACGTGTTTGTGGACGTATGATTTCCCAGTGCTTGTAAACTACTCCAAACCTGATCACCCAATCTGTGTTGAGCAGAAGAGGCATTTGTGTTATTTAATTATCGATGCCGAAAACAGCTCAGATTGACGTCGAATGATTGAATAAAGATGAATTAGAAAGGATATGAAAGGAGGAGATTGTGTTATAATTTGAGGCACAATCCAAACATATCTGTAGAAACTGAAGAAAACCACGAAGAATCTCAGCCGTGATAGTCGGTGTCCCCCACCAAGATTCGAAATTGGCACTTCCGGGATAAAAGTCAAAAACATTACCAGTTGATCAAGCTTAATAACTCTAATTATATTTAATTTCACTTTATTTTGTAGCAATTACTATATTATTTACAATATGTCAGTATATTCCAGAAATTTGCACCCTATTTTTAAAAATTTGGATCGACCTGATTTTTTAACTTGGTAATATTTTACGTTTTATTGTATGATCCATACGACTTTAAAATAAGTGAGAAGAATTTTGTAATTGGTTTTAAAGGCGGAATACAAACGCTACATCAAATTGTACTGCTGCTCCAAATGAAGACTACCTTATATAGACGTCTTAATTTTCCCTACATTAAATATATTATTACATTTAATCATAAAGAAGGTGAAATAACTCAGATCATAATAATATTCTATTTGCCACGTTTGAATTCCAAATCGAAATCAAAGCAACTTTTGCCCGAATTACAATCAAGTGTAATTTTTCCTGTATATTGGCCAGCAGCAAGACGAAATTTGTTCTTGTAACTGCTTACATCAAGCTTCTGGTCCTCAGGAGCGCAGATTTTACTCTGTAACAGACACAAAACGTAACAGGTTGCACTCAAGTACTTTCTGGAATGAAGCAAGAAAACTGAAAAGGAAATTCTACACATTAATTCTATAGTAAAAATTTCATTCAATAATCGTCATTTATTTCTTTTTTATTTATTATGGCCTTAATTTCACAGATAGTAAATTAATAGTTTCACAAATCTATTCTAAATTGGAAGAGATCGGAGAAGTTAATCAGCAAAAGCCGAAGGAAAAGAATATTATGAAATTTGATTCTTCGATAGTTTGGAACTTACCGTAACTTAGTATTAAAATCCAGTAACCGTATCTATTCTGTATGGGTGTGAAACTTGATCTCTGACATTAAGGGAGGAACATAGACTGAGGGTATTTGAGAACAGGGTGCTGAGAATATTTGGACCAAAGAGAGATGAAGTGACAGGAGGTTGGAGAAAACTGCGTAATGAGGAGCTTCATAACTTGTACTCTTCTGCAAGTATAATTAGAATGATCAAGTCAAGGAGGATGAGGTGGGCAGATCATGCAGCACGAATGGGGGAGATGAGGAATGCGTATAGGATATTGGTGGGAAAGCCAGAAGGAAGGAGACCACAGGGAAGATCGAGGGGTAGGTGGGTGGACAATAATAGAATGGATCTTAGAGAAATAGGAGATGGGATGGTATGAATTGGATAGATCAGGCTCAGGATAGGGACCAGTGGAGGCTCTTGTGAGTATGGTAATGAACCTTCGGGTTCTATAAAATGCTGGAAAATTCTTGAGTAGCTTCAGAATTTGCGGCTCCTCCAGAAGGGCTCAGCTCCATGAGTAAGTAAACCGTACTTATTCAAGCTGAAGCATTTGACAGAATTTCTCATCAGCATTTGAGTAGTGACATGTGTGAACAAATTTGTTATCAAATTCTAGCTTTGCAATGATGTAGAATTATTCTAGGAAATTACAACGTCCGAAATTGTTCGCGACAGAAGCTAGATATGGCCGTGCTCAGACAATATTTTTGTGTTCATCTGCGAAGTTTGTATTTATGAATTTTGTTTGGTTCCTCGTCGTTTGTTATTATATTTTTCCAGGAAAAGAATTTAGTACCATGAAGTCCGTTAAGGTTTGCTTACCTTCTTAAATGGGCATGACGTGGGGATATTGTTCTTGGCCAGATTTTCTGCCACAGTTTTGTTTTTTGATGCATTGGCTAGTTCTTCACACACATCTCTTTCGCCTTTAATTGGGATCATCATACCTCTCTTCTTGACGTCATATGCCAACTGAAAAAAAACATATAAGTAAATAAAAGGTAATATTGTACCTGGGCTTAGTTAAGCGCCACGTAGTTGAGAAATACGTTCTGCTACCAGGTTAAGTGGATGATCAGGTCCCAATTCGGGAAGAAACATTCCCAAGTTCCCATCATACTGGAGGCTGCTTGGTGCACAGAGTCGGCTTGGTCATGGTGACGAAGAAAAATTCCTTCTCTCTCCCGGATATGGAACCCCGGTTGTCAGTTACATATCCAGTCACTAAGCCTATATGGATCGAACGATTCTAATTGCAAACAATTAAATAAAGGTGAAGCTTATCCCTGTAACAGGCCGCGAAGGCCCATCGTGTTTTGAGACGTCGAGGCTCCCACATTTTCTAGACAATCGGCTCACAGATGGCGGTAAGTTTTTCAGACTTATTCCAAAGGAAAATTCCGGGTAATCATTTCTGTTAGAGGCTGATTCGACCCAGGGCCAATTTGCACAGTGGGGGTGGAGTCCAGTTGGGTCCACTCGGCATATCGTCCACTGATTGGCCTATTGTACCTTCCCTGGGTGATTATGGTAATGGAGAATTTGGTGGAATGAAGAACGGCAAGGAAACCGAAGTACTCGGAAAAAACCTGCCCTAGCGCCACTTTGTCTACCACAAATCCCACTTGACCAGACCCGGGCTCGAACACGGGCAGCCGTGGTGTGAAGCCAGCGACTAACCTTTTCAACTATGTCGCGGCCGACCCAGGGCCATAGTGCGGCTGGAAGGATTAGGTAAATTGAAAAAATCCACTTCATCAGGACTCGAACCCGCGTAGGGTAGTGCTTCAACCGACTACGCTACAGCGTGGCCCCTACAAACAATTAATTAATTAGTTAAATAAACAAAAGTGAATGTGAAGAAGAATGTAGAATTATCTCTGTGCTTAATTTATTAAGCATTAAACCACGAAGACCTGTGGGGACTAGAGGAGAGTTTCACGCATTCTTAAAATTAGCCATAAATGGAGCTGAGTGATAAGGTTCCCGTCCAAGCCGCGTTACTCCAAGGAAATGTGTACCCATTACGCAATGAATAGGAGACTCCGTGGGCTCCAGATCTAATGTGGAGACTGTGGAGAAGAGCAATATTTCTCGCCTCTGCCGAGAATCGAACATTGATTTCTCGGTTGCTCAACCCATAGCCTGATGACTGCATCAATCAACATATCCCGACTACAGTAAATAAGTACATGAAGCAGCAGCATTTGAAGATAGGCAATTCTTTCGAATTCTCAGCGCGTAACGCAAGCATACATGTTTCTGAGCAATCTGAAGGATACATACGTACCTTGCAACTTGAAAATTCTTTAGTATTCTCCATACATCCAACTGCAGAAACAAAGCAATCTTGCGACAGCACGATTTTGGGATTTATAAGTTTGATTATCCCAGAATTATCGCAAGGTTGTAGCTTATTTACTTTTATTTTGTAACCGTCCTGAAAATGAGATTAGAAATAGACACGGTTCTCACATTCTGAGTTTATAATGTTATACTGGCTGGTGCAATAAAATGACTTTGAAAGTACAAAAAAAAATTAGTGACTCCAACACACAACATATATGAATTTCATTCAAAAAACCGATCCCTTCATTTTCATCATTTTGTGCCACCCGGTATACTAAATTCTCTATTGCTAAAACATACACGCAAATGGAAAGCAGACTAATTAATTAACTGACAAAAGTCTCTGATATCAGAAACCTGTTGCTGCATACAGTCAATGCTAGGAATGGCCATAAATACGGGTAAGCACTCTCTGATTTGTTTCAAAGCCCCCGCTTTTTTTTAGTAATCTAATTTCAGTGCCTCAAGACGTACCTATCACTCCCAGAAAGGATATAGGCACGTCGTCGGCTAGGCTCTTGCCTCTCACCACCGAACATCTAATTCAATCGCAGGTGAGTTCATGTGAAACTCGTGATGGACGAAGTAGGGCTGAAGCGAGTCTTTCCTCGCGTTTCTACTGTTTTACCTTCCTAATGAATATTCCACCTTGGCTCCGTACTCACATATCATCTCTCCTTGAAGTATGCGATAGCCCTTGCCAGGCAGCACATTATCATATCCTCTATCTCTAATCTGGGGCTGCTATCTCTGACCCGACACGTGTCTTATTACAGAGTAAGGAAAGTACAATATATATTTTTGTCCTTTTCACAAAGCAATTTGTTTTATCTGCCTCTCACAGTGGCCGCGTGGTCTAAGGCATGAAATGTTTCCTCCCGTTCAAACACTGTGATTTTTGGTTCGAAACCAACTCGATGCATGAATGTCTGTTTGCGTTCTTCCTGTATTCGTGTTATCCTGTCTAGGCAGAGGTCTTCGACGGGGCTGATTCCCGCCCAAGTAGTCCTACCAACTGTCTATAAGATTAAAATTTCATAATTATTTTTTAATGGGAACAGACTAGAGAGCCTAATCCATCGAGGAGGAAGAAGAATTTATTTTAGGTCTTTTAGAATGTTTTTTTTTTTTAAGAAATGAGAATGTCTCACGCAGTTTAACGGTACCCAGCAACTCTGAAGTGGTAAAACACTCACGCAGGCTTCTGTTGAGGTGAACAGCACACAAAATGCGCAAAATGCGATGAAGACTGACTTCAGAATTGTTGAGGGACGGATGTTGGAGGATGTCGCCATCGCAAAAAGATAGATATTCCAGTCACGACTTAATCTGCACGTATAAGTGATGAAAGCAAGCAAATCCTTTATATACGAAATGAATGAATGGCACCAGGCGAAAGAAGAGAATTTTGTTAAATAATGGCTATGGCGTATGAAAACAAATCGCGCATGGTAGGAGCACATTCTTTGAAAAGGCTGCATGCTTTAGCACCTAACACCAACAATTTTTATTTTTATGAGTAGATATATTTACACAGAATTCACATCTGATCAGTTTCAGCGGTTTATGTCATATCTCATGTTCATCTATATGTTTACAACAATGCCATCACGCCGTTTTATGAATGGGTTCGTGTAAAATTGCTTACATCAGTTTATCACCGGCAGAAAATTACCCGTCACACAGAATTTCAAAGGCAATTTTCAATGGCAAGGGGAAATCTGCTTTTCTGTAACAAAGGCAGTACTGTGTGTTATGAAAATATCGTAATACAATAGCTTTAAAAATGTACATAAAATCGCTTTGTCACTGACAGAAGATTAACTGTTACGTACAACCTCGAAGGTAGTTCTGCCTCACTACCAAAAAATGGAACGTTGGAAATAGACAGTGTTTGGTCAACACGGCAGTGTTACTTGTGCACGACCCTATGAAGATGATGAGGAACTGCAGTTCAAAGCTTACGTACTAAGTTCAGTTTGTTTTTAATTTCACATTTCAGTCTGTACTCTCTATTTTATTGTGGCAATGAGGACTGTGTTCGCTTGTACCTGAACCCTTATAATTTTCAGGCTTAAGTGGAACCTGCTTTTCAAAATACATCAACTCTCGTTATGTAATTGCTTTTATATTTCAATGCATTTATGTGTTTTATGGAATGTAGCAATTATGGCGTGTATATAAACAGGTGAAATAAGGAGAACATAGAATATTACCTAAACATACGATGTTTATCTGACGAGTTTCATGACTTGTTAGCTACACGGTTGATACAGTGATTCCTAAGAAGCTGGTAGTTTCTGAGCTCGTAAAGAATCTCTGTAATTTCTATAGCAATACAAAAATTCATGACGGTACTCAAAAAAGATATTTGCACAAGAAGTTAAGTTTTTATTCTTTCGGATACATTTTAAGATACATAAAAGCTAAAGGTATCCCTGTAACAGGCTGTGAAGACCCGTAGGGTTGCGTGACGTCGAGGCTACCACATTTTCTAGACAATTGGCTCACAGATAGTGGTGAGGTTGTTAGTCTTACGCGCCGGTCGCCCTTTACTCCCAAGAAGCAGAATACTGGTACTCATTTCTGTTAGAGGCTGAGTTGACCCCAGGGCCATAGTGCGGCTGGAAGGATTAGGTCAATTTAAAAACCCAATAACCTCATCGAGATTCGAAACCGCGACCTTCTGGCTTGTAGCATAGTGCCTCAATAAACTACGCTACCGCATACACCCATTGTAAGTTGAATATCACTGTAAAATAGTTAAGAATAAATTCTGAATCCATTAACAAAATTAATTTGTTGCAGCATTGGATGAAGAATATATTTCTTCAATTACACGTATCAGTGTGCTGTGTAAAACACATTTCCGGTCTAGAAAACTGAGATTAACGGCTGTGGGGATCCGTTGCGCGGACCACGCGACACTCCTTATCCGCAAATTTGGCATTAAATTCGCCGACAAAGCGGTGGTCCCTCGGTCGGTATTGTTCGCTTGTGGACTACGGGTCACGGAGTTCTTTTAGTCCTATAAAACACATTATTGAAATAGATAAAGAAGAAAGCCTGCAGTTATAAATGTTTGTGATTTCTTTATTTCTTTTCTCTGCATCCAAATATTGCCTAATTTAGAAGTCGAAATTGAAGCAGCTCTTTCCCGAGTTGCAGTCGGAATTGAGTTTGCCTGTGTACGTCCCAAAAAGAAGATTTAAGTAATTCTCGTGTTCGTCTATATCGATCTGGAAATCACAGATTTTTCCCTACAACAAACACAGAATAAAACACATGGATTACACTCGAGGATGGCAAGCATATAAGTACTAGTAGAACATCGAAAGGACTCCCTTAATGTGACTCCACACATAGAGTTACCAGCACAGATTGCAATCATAGATCGTCCTCTGTTCCTTAGATGGATTGTTTATATCCTTCATTTCACACTTTGTAAAGGATTAGATTTGATAGTAATAACAGCGACTGGGCTGGACGACCGGGACGGTCAAGAATTTTCTATTCTCCACTTCGTTCAGACCGGATCTGGGGCCCACCCAGCCTCATATTCAATGGGTTCCGGGGGTAAAGCCGCCGGAGTGTGAACCTTACCACTCACCTCAAGCTAGTGACGAGGTCAAGAAAATCTGGATCTATACATCCATTTCTCCATACGCCTTCGTGGAGTAGGATTTATAAATTATAATCCTATTCTATAGGATTTATAATTCAAAGTAAATTTAAATTTGACCTTTTGCTTAATAAATTGAACACTACGCCGTGAAAACTTAGGGCGAAGTGGAGGTGTAGCCCCATCATTCTTGACATCGGAATTAGGTGGAAGTGAGTGGCCAACTTCACGCCCTGGCCACTTTACCCACTTGGAAACTGGTTGGGAACCAGAGCCAGTATGGACTCTGTGAAGAAGAGACTAATCTCATCCCTGCCGAGGACAAAATTTCAGCCGTCCAACCCGTAGCCCATCACTATATTGACTGAGCTATATAGCTACCTATCTATCAAGTCAAAGTCACATTGCGACCGACGGTCAGTCAGTAAGTCTTGGTGTCGAGCCCCATCTGAAGCTCATGACCAGATATTTATTACTGTTTGACAGTTACGGTTTTATTTCTGTGGGGCGCCCTCTCTGACGAGAGGACAGGTCTGTCTTTTGTATATGCTGCTGGCCGTTGCCAGCGCAGTCTTTCTCGGGTCCGAGTCCCTTGAAACTCGCGGCCGGATTTTACTGTCTCAGATTTGAGACCTTTGAGACTTCCCTGTTCTTTGCCTCCTACAACTCGCAGGATCACGGTGGAGGTATTCGACCCCACCTCCACATATCTATCCAGTAAAAGTCGAAGTCATAATGCCTTAGACCGCGCGGCCACTGCGATCGGCCAACGGAGTAGTAGAACTATAGAAATATCAACTACAATTTTAGAAATTGTAATTAATTTTCACTAACTACAGTAACAGGTTTGACTTAATGGTAACCGTGATTTAACAGTATTAAAAAACAGCAAATGCAGTGAAGCGTCTACATATAGAATGTATCTGAAAACGGCCCTCTGCAATGTTGAGTGGGCCCTTTTTTAAAATGGCTTGGCACGTCCTCGGGTTTGCGGACGTAGGAAATGGCCTCCAGGTATGGACAGTAGTTGCGAATATATTGAATAAGCAGTCAGACGGCCGACAATGTGTGGTCCTCAAGCTGGAGTTTCGGCGTGGGGATAACAACTCCTAACTACAAAAATAAATTTGGACGGGTTCTTTGCATAAATAACATAAGCTAAAGAAAATGGATATCAGATATGGCAGGTTCACTCGTAACAGTTGCAAGGGAAATATCAAATTATGTTAGATTTAGTGGGAGTACAGGGACCGCCTCTGTGGTCTAGTGGCTAGAGTTCCTGGCTACAAATCCAGAGGTCCCGGGTTCGATTCCCGGCGCTACCAGATTTTCTGAGAAGTAGTGGGTCGGGAACGGGATTCACTCAGCTTCGTGAGGATAATTGTGGAGGTATTTCAAGGAAATAGCGGCTCCGGTCTAGAAAACCGAGATTAACGAGCGTGGGGATCCGTTGTGCTGACCACATGACACACTGTAACCGCAGAAGTTGGCACTAACATTGCCGACAAGCGGCGGTCGCTCGGTCTGTATAGTTCGCTTGCGGACTACAGGCCAGGGAGTGGGAGTACAGGAGGTCAGATGGGACAAGGGTGGCACCAAAATAGCAGGCAGATAAAATTTTTTCTATGGAAATGGGAATCATGAATAGGTACAGTTTTTTTTGTACATAAGGGAATCTTGTCAGCAGTTAAGAGGGTAGACTTCGTTAGTAATTGGATGTTGTACATAATACTAGGAGGTCGCTGGTGTCATTATTCTGAATGTTCATGTACCAAGAGGGGGTAAAATTGATGATATGAAGGACAGCTTCTACGAGGAACTAGAGCGTGTATTCGGTAAATTCCCTAAATACCATATGAAAATTTCGTTAGGAAATTTAAATTCCAATTATGTAGAGAAGACGCTTTCAAATTAACAACGGTAAAGAGAGTTTACACAAAATTAAAAATGATAATGGAGTTAGAGTAGTAAACTTTGCCATATCCGAAAATCTGATCGTCAAAAGTATAATGTTCCCACATTGTAACATTCATAAATTTACTTGGACACCCCCTGATGGAAAGGCGCACAACTAAATTGAGAGTGAGCAGACGAACAATGCACAGATTTCATGTGGAAAAGTTCTACCTCAAGTAACTAAACGAGGTAGAAAATTTCAGTTCGTGAACTCGATCAAATTCACTGCGCACTAAGAGAGGCCAGGTATAAAACACGGGCAATATATGTATGACTTATAATGAAGCAAGTAACTAGATATAAATTTCAACATTTTATTTTCAGGTTCCATGACATTATGACACGGGATATAATTATGCCATTTTATTATTCTCTAATTTGAGTTGGGTACGTATAAAACATGCAAGGAAATATTTACGAAGTCAGCATATTTTGAAGTAGAATTCCATAAATATTAGCAGAGTCTTTTCTGTTGTGCAGTGCTGATTAAAGGTATGTAACGTTACTTTATTTTGATTTAAATTAGTACAATTTGTTTATATTATATCAGTAACAAAATTTCACAATATATTCAAGCGTGTCTATTTCTTCTTAGTGTTACTAAAAATTTTTGCGTAAGCAGCGCAATTTGAAAAGATTTAAAATATAATGAATTGGTAAAGGTAATATTAAAAAAAGTACGAAATATATATTATACTAGCTGCAAATTTAATGGAAAAGCTGTAAATTTCGTAACATCATCAGTAGCCACAATTATGCCGTTACAATATTTAAGTGAAGTCACAGAACTTAATGATGATTGTTGAGAAGTTTGTCTATTTGCCACGTTTGAATTCCACGTCGAACTTAAAGCAACTCTTTCCACTGTTACTCTGGACTGTTACAGTGCCTGAGTACTGGCCTGCGGCAAGGCGAAACTTGTCTTTATAGCTCTGTATATCGAAAGTTTCTCCTTTTGCAGAACAAAGTTTCATCTGCAACAAACACACAAAATAATACATGAGATCAAATCAAGTTAGCTTTTGTTTACTAATTATATCTCATAAAGTTAGAAGGCTAAGCTGTCTCTATGCCTAATTAATTAAACACTACGCCATGAAGATGTGTGGGGGAGTGGAGATATAGCTCCACTATTCTTGACCTCTGCTATAGATGGAAGTGAGTGGTTAGCTTCACACTTCGGCTGATTTACCCCGGAGAAACAGCCCCCGGTACCCATTGTATGTGAAGCTAGGTAGACTACAGAGCTGGATGTTACGGAGAAAAGATACATTTCTTACCCATGCCTGGAAACGAACCCCGACCATCCCGCCCCTAATCCGTTACTGTACTGACTGAGCTATCCCGGTTTCATTAAATCTTGTATGTCTAAGAAAACAATTCATCTAATTAGAATGTTTTAGTGACACTTTAATAAAACTCTCATAGGCCTACGTAGATAGTTATATGATGTCTCTTATTTGTATTCGGAAGGTGCCCGGTTCGAACCTTGTCCGGTTTACTGTCTATTCTGATTGAGGTTCTTTGTTGTTTTACTCAGTCCCCCCAGGCAAATTATGGGATGAGACTTCTATTAGGCCATGACAGCATATTTCAACATACGAGTAATTTACAATTCATTGCTCGCCAATCTTGCTACACTGTACGCTATACGCCTATAAGTGTGAGACACCGACAGTGTTGTCAAATAACTACAGGATCTGAGATGATTAAGAATTTAGTCTAACGGGTTGCGGCATCGTATAGTTTCGTGGATGGTTACCGACGTTTCGGAGCAACCCGTAGAAGTCTCTTAAGGAACCAGCATATTCATTCGAGACGTTGATAACTTCTTATGAAAGTGTATATGCCAGCAGACTACAATTTTTATTTCCATTGCTGTTACAACCCGAGATGTCACAAAACAGACTTTCCATCGTCATTGATTTAGGGTTCCTTTTGGAACACGTCATTTAAAAGGCCTAAGGCAATTAGAAGGGATTTCATATTAATGAAACGCTACAGTCTCTGGTCTCTGCTGAATATGTGAATTTATTAGGAGAAAACGCGAGTTCCAGGTAGAAGAAGAGAAAGCAGGAACTCTATTGGCCATAAATATGTACTTCACAAGCCTGAGGGTGGGTTAACGTGTATTACATCTTCAACCTCTATGCATCAGAGATAAGGTAAAGTTGTTTCTGTGCTTAAATAATTAAGCACTAAGCTATGAAGACGTATGGGGGTGTGGATGTATACATCTACATTTTTTGGCCTCGATACTAGCTGGAGGTGAGTAGTCAGCTTCACGCCCCGGCCGATTTACCCCCCCGGGAAAGAGTCCCGGCACCCACTGGACAGGATACTTGATGAGCAATAGAACCGGTCAAGAAGACGTGGAGAAGAGAAAATTGTTAACCCTACCGGGACTCGAAGTCCAACCCCTCAGTCGCCCAGCCCGTAGCCAGTCGTTATACCGATTGAGCTATCCCAGCTTCATCCGAGATACAGAAATGTATTATTCGAATTCAATATATTGTGATTTGTCACTAACTTACGTCATGCAAATAAAACTAATTGTACGACATGACTCATGTTCATTGTCTCGCCGCTTTTCGTTATACTTGGCTACGTGAAGCCTGTGAAGTACCCGTAGCATGTTAGTTATTGCTGGACGTGTGTGCATGTGTGCGCAGAAGCATTTATTCTGAATTTCAAGATGGAGGGAGAGAGTCATTCGTTAGTTCTTAGTAACGGACTTGGAGGCACTATGCTACAAGCTGGAAGGCCGCGGGCTCGATTCCCGATGAGGTCACTGGTTTTCAATTGACCTAATCCTTCCAGCTGCACTATGGCCTTCGAGTTGACCCAGCCTTTAACAAAATGAGTACCAGGAATCTTCCTAGGGGTAGAGGGCGGCCTTCGCGGAAGCCTAACAGCCGCACCGCCATTTGTGAAACGATTGTGTACAAAATGTTGGAGCCTCGACGTCTCAAACTCTATGCGCCTCCACGGCCTGTTACAGGGATAACCTTACCTTTTATGTAACTATAAATACAACATAACTTGTCCAGTACATTCGCTAATAAATAGAAAGAGGACTCAATTTTATAGAATAGTTAATATTTAGAACACGTAATTTATACTTACTGCATTGAATGGACAATGCGGAGGAACTTTGTACTTGGCAAATGTTTCTGATGCTTTTTTCTCCTTAGCAACTTTAGGCACTTCGTCACAAACATCCTTTTCCCCCTTAAATGGAACTATCATCCCCCTCTTCTTGACATCATACACAACCTAGACAACGAATACATTGAAAAAATTATGAAATGTAAGTTGTAGCATAGTAAGTGAATATGGAACGAAACGAATTGTACTATACGTGTTACAAAGCAAAGCATATGACTTACAACAAGTGAATATGAGATAAAGACTACGATATATAGCATAAGTGAATATGGAACAAAACGTATGGGTTGTGGCATAAGTGAATAAGAAACAAACTATAGGAGTTACAACATAAGTGAACATAGAAAACAGCGTATGAGTTGTGGCATAAGTGAATATGAAACAAACTATAGGACTTACAACATAAGTGAACATAGAAAACAGCGTATGAGTTGTAGCATAAGTGAATATGAAAGAAACTATAGGAGTTATAGCATAAGTGAACATAGAAAACAGCGTATGAGTTGTGGCATAAGTGAATATGAAAGAAACTATACGAGTTATAGCATAAGTGAACATAGAAAACAGCGTATGAGTTGTAGCATAAGTGAATATGAAAGAAACTATAGGAGTTATAGCATAAGTGAACATAGAAAACAGCGTATGAGTTGTGGCATAAGTGAATATGAAAGAAACTATACGAGTTATAGCATAAGTGAACATAGAAAACAGCGTATGAGTTGTAGCATAAGTGAATATGAAAGAAACTATAGGAGTTATAGCATAAGTGAACATAGAAAACAGCGTATGAGTTGTGGCATAAGTGAATATGAAAGAAACTATACGAGTTATAGCATAAGTGAACATAGAAAACAGCGTATGAGTTGTAGCATAAGTGAATATGAAAGAAACTATAGGAGTTATAGCATAAGTGAACATAGAAAACAGCGTATGAGTTGTGGCATAAGTGAATATGAAAGAAACTATACGAGTTATAGCATAAGTGAACATAGAAAACAGCGTATGAGTTGTGGCATAAGTGAATATGAAAAATAGGTTCTATTACATTATAATAAGCGGAAATGAGAGAAAGCGTGTGAGTTATACGCGTACCATAATAAAGGAATGCAAAGCAAAACGTGTGGGTTCTAGCATAATAGGTGAATATGCAACAAAGAGTAAGCTGCAACAAGATAATAACATAGGAGGACAAGTATGCGATCTTACTGAAGATCTTGTGTGTTTGTATGGTGTGGGAAGATCGGGAAACAAAACACTAATTTTTAGGCCTTTAAATATAAGCGGAACAATTTTCAGAAGTTTTGGAGAAATTGTGTCAAATAACTTTTTACAAAATCGCTTACAGCATGACCACATAAGAAAGAAAATTTTTAAATTATCTACATAACTGTTAAATTTTCAATATCTTAATTCCCCTAAGTACGGCTCATGTCTCAAGCATAGGACCCAATGTCCAAAGTACGTAAACACTAAGAACTGGAACTGGAATGAGGCATTATGTGTCAGGGGTGTCAGGGCTGGTGAGACACCAGCAGGGGAACAGAGATATACGATTTTACGGACGGCACACTTTACAGCCCTCTATTTTTGGCGTTTTAAAAATAAAGATTAGTATTTTCTGCTCCTTTGTGCGTATCGAAACCAATAATTAGAGGTCATCTGACTGCGACACGGAGCCACGTAAACGTAGCTATGAACCGCAAACACTGGCATTGCTGTTTGATTTTGTAGCCGGCAGCAACAACGTGGTCGAATGGCAGAATGAAGCCGTATCAATTTGCTGGACTCTGCTTTAAGGATTATGACCTCGCACTCTGAGGTGTGCAAAAGCCCTTATCAGGCAGCACATTATCACGGTTTTTAACTTAGAGGCTGCATGTGTGACATGGCCCTTGGCTGGCTACAGAGTTAGTTTAATAATAATAATATACAAGCGGGAGGTTGGAGAAAAATGCAAAATGAGTAGCTTCATAACTTTCACTCTTCGCCAAGTATAATTACAATAATCAAGCGAAGGAGGATAAGATGGGTAGGGTATGTAGCGCGAATGTAGGAGAAGAGGAATACATATAGGATGTTGGTGGGAAAGCTAGTAGGAAAGAGACCACTACGAAGACAATGAAGTAGGTTGGTGGATAATATTAAAATGGGTCTTAGAGGGATAGTATGGGGTAATATGGACTGGATCGATCTGGCTCAGGATAGGAACCAATGGAGGACTCTTGTGAATACGGTAATGGACCTTCGGGTTCCATAAAATGCTGGGAAGTTCTTGAATAGCTTCACAACTGGCGGCTTTTCAAGAAAGGCTCAGCTCCATGAAGTTAGTTGTTATATACAGGAAGATGTTATGGAATGAACACAATATACGTATGTTGGACTGAGTTTCTCACAATTTTGAGTATTAAGAATACTGTAGTCCGGTAGACGTTCACCGATGTTTCGGAGGAACGTACTTTGTCTTGAGGGATGTCAAGTAGGCTAAGAACCGAGCAGACATTCCGTCTGATTCTTGCTGGTTTTTACTTGATCCTGTAGATAGAAGCGTCTGTAAACTTCTACCAGACTACACGGAGTTAAATGGGTCTTCAACCCAGTTGAAACATACCTTGCAGCTTGTAAACCCGGACGTTAACTCCGCACATCCTTGTACAAAGAGTTCGCAATCTTTCGTCAGTTCAACTTTTGGGTTGGTGAGCTTAATTTGATTGCTAGGATCGCAGGGTTCAATTTTGTTTACTTTTATTTTGTAACCATCCTGAAAAATAGATTGCATGGCATTAGATGTGACATGTACATCCTGCAGACACTGCATCCTGTGTTAGAACATATGTTATCTGTGTCTTTACTAACCAGCACTGTATATGTTAGTGTAGCGTTAACAATATTCGAGCCGTAACCCAGTTTGAATGCCCAGTACTTCTACAGTTTCCTCAGTCGAATTCTACTGTACACACAAATAGACTTCGAATTTCCCCTTTCAAAATCCATACCTACTCACGATTCATAATAATCATTCCTAGTCATGACACCCGAAAGCCGGAATCGTGGAGCCAGAGGAGTTATCATTGTTCGGCAACGGCTTGATAAACACATTCCCGCAGCAACGACTATGCAAGCAACAATAGAAGTACTGCTGTTTCTTTGCGACGGCGAGGTAAGCACACCTTTATTATAGAGGAACTGTTATGAAAACGTGTTTTATGTTGGGACCGACCCGAGGCTATACAACGAGAATTACACGCCAGCTAGAATTGATTTATGGACTGACAGAGATCATGTATATATTGTATGTATGTATGTATGTATGTATGTATGTTTTATGAGAGGAGATGGGTTTCCCCATGCACTTAGACCAGTTATTGGTCCATTGTGCGTCCCCCTTTTAATTTCTACTGTCCCCATACCCTACCGGTAACGGTGCGTGCCATCAGCCCCCGTAGGGCCAAGGAGGCCGGCCCCCGATACCTTGATGCTTCCCCCTTCCACCAGAGGCATTTGAGACTTCTTGGGCGGGAAATGGCCTGTAATTTAGCTCAGAGGTCTCCTAGAGACATGAGGTTCTTTTACGTGCCGTAAATCTACGACACGGGACACACGGCTTAAAGTCCTTCCAGGAGGACTTGTTCCCTGAATTTTTCCGCCCTTAAAACTCATATATTGTATGTAAATTTTTAACATGTTTAACATGTAAAATGTAAACATATTTTACATTATGACAAAGGACTTACTACTGCAGACAATGACTCTGACAAAAAACAGATCCGTCCTCTCGTCAGATGGGGCTCGACACCAAGACTGACTGACTGACTGACTGACTGACCGCCAGTCGCAGAGTTTGTCTTTGACTCTGACTTTGATTTTGCTAGATTTGAGAACTGAGAAAGTCTCTAGGGATGTCAGTCGAATGATTTAGAAGAGATGACAAAAAAGGAATTAGGCTGTGCAAATAAGGCTTTATGTGTGCTGCAGTTAGAGTGGGTCTGGTATAATTATTGTGTTGAAATCCGTTGCCACAATACGACTAGTGAAGACTGAGGACACTATAGTGAGTGTGTAACAGTGAACTATAAAGTGTGTAGATCAGCCATAGCGCTGTAATTTATTGTAGTTCTAAGTGGTGTGTATAATGTATCAGTAAATCCAGTCATCCATTCTAAACCCTCCTATAATCACAACCCTTTCACGTGACATTATTTCTCCATTCTAAACCCGCCTATAGTCACAACCCTTTCACGTTACATTATCTCTGCACTTGAAACGATGTAAGAAAACTACCGACGAAACCGTCATTGAACTCAGAGAAGAGTACATTCAGTCACAATACCAGAACATATTTCAACATTATATTTTTATCCTTCTTCTTCTTCACTTAATGGAACCGAACGTGTTTGTCTAACGGTAGCGCTTTACGTTTGTATTGGGAAGATGTTCAGTTTGAATCTCGGCTGAGATATTACCATGACTCATTTTGTGGTTTGCGTCAGTTCAGCCAGCCGAACCGTCTGAAGCATAAATTGTCTTCGTCCGCTCGAACGCTGGATCGTGGAGTTCGACTCCCACTCAAGGCATGGATGTATGTGTGCGTTTATTCTGTGAAGGTAGTGGCCTTGTGACGGACTGATCCTCCATTCAAGGAGTCCTACCGACTGTGTATAGGATTAAGAAACTGAAAAAAGCGGTGAAGATCCAACAAAAGGACTGTAGAGCCATGGGCACATAGATTAGTTCAGGCAGGTAAATGCCCGGGTAATATCCAGATGAAAAGCGGCCTCCGTAGTCTAGAGGTAACGTTCCCATCTCATGACTCGTGGTACGCGGGTTCAAATACGCGGCGGAGGTCGTCGAATTTTTAAGGGCGGAAAAATTCAGGGAACAAGTCCTATGGGAGGGCACGTAAAAGAACCTCATATCTCCAAAGGAGATCACTGAGCCAAATTCCAGGACGTTTCCCGCCCAACAATAATCTCTAAGGCCTCTGATAGATGGGGGAAGCATTATAGACACCGCTGAAGCAAGTGGAGGCCGAACTCGCTTGGTCGGCGGGACTGATGGTACGCACCATTATCGGTAGGGTATAGAGAATGGTAGAATATCATAGAGGGAAGCACAATGGACCAATACTGGTCTAAGTGCATGGGGAAACCCACCCTCTCCAATAACTAACTAATATCCAGATGAAGACTGATGCCTTCCGAATCCTATCCGATTCATCAATTGTCTTATCATTCAGTAAAACAACACTTCACGGTGTAGCATTAACGATTTTCCTCTCTTCATGTTTCTGTGCTATTATGATGTCTTTTATTCATATCCTTCCATCGCTATAGTATTCATTACACGAGCAAGAATTGTGATTTTGCTTTGTCCTCGAAATGAACAATGAAACTGTCCATCTATGGCTCTGCATCCCTTTGGGCCTTGACCGCTTTTTTAGTTTCTTAATCCTATATACAGTTGGTAGGACTCCTTAGATGGGGAATCAGCCCGTCACAAGGCCGCTACCTACACACAGAACAACACGAACACAGAGTAAACTCATACAGATATCCATGCCTCGAGTGGAATTCGAACTCACGAACCCAGTGTTGGAACGGGCGAAGACAGTTCATGCCTTAGACCGCGGGGCCACTGCCATCGGCACAATGCAATTCAGTACAGTGAAATTTTGTTCGACTTGAGTGATAAGTCATGTTCAGTTTAGAGTTACTGTCTAGGAGTTGTGAGCGTCCTATGGTCCTTACAGGTAAAGAGGACACTAATTCTGTGTGCAGTAAATAAGTCTCATATACAGGGGGGGGTCCAAAAAATCTTCTCACTCTTCGATAGTCAATATCTTTGGAACAAAAGGACATGTAGTTACAATTCTTGCGCGGTGGTGTAGCGTACTGTTTTCCCAACAGATGGTGAAAGTCACATGAGTCACGTGAGTGTCGTGCCGCGTGCGCGCTGCGAGCAGAAGACAGCAGCAACAATGGCTGAAAGATTGTTCTTAGAGCAACGCAAGTCTGTATTGAAGTGGTGTATTTATGCAAGAAGCAATGAGTTCCTTCTAGCAAGAGGACATTGTTCTGTAATAGTATATTATAAACTATTAAATAAGTATTAAACTTGAGTACCATGAAAATGGAGGCGGTATTATACTCCGAAACATTAACAAATATACACGTATATTAGATAACGCGGCGTTACACCCAAGAAAATATTATCTTTATAGTCACCGCCGAGTGAATCTTGGATATAACATTATGTAGCCCGGTAGATGTTTACCGACGTTTCGGAGGAACGTATAGTTATTATTGTGGTGTATCCAAAAGCTGGTGTGGCCGTAAGGGCTAAGAGAATACATCATTTACCTACCCGGACTCGAAGCACCGTCCTTCAGCTCATATCCAAGAACTTAACTACCTAAACTACCATAGGTTAATATTTTATTTTATTTTAGTAAAGAGTTTTCTAGGCCGTGCCATAGCTCAGGCGGTTAGTCGCCGGCTTCCCACCGTGGCGGTCCTGGTTCGAGCCTCGCTAAGGTCGTGTTGTATTTATGGTGGACAAAGTGGCGCTGGGGATTGTTTTCTTCGAGCACTTCGGTTTCCCCAGCCACTTCTCATTCCACTGACTGCTCCACACTCATCCTCATCTGTCATCCTGGACTGGTACAACAGGCCAGAGTGCCCGCAGTACCAAGTGGACTCAGCCTCACCCCCCCAAAACGAGTTTTCTTTGGAAAACTAGTTTTATAGCTCACAAAAACATAACGGAACAGTCAGAAGATATTTCTGCATAACCAGAATAAAATCGCGTTTTAGAAGATAAATTCTGAAATGATAAACACTCACACAGGCTTCTGTTGAGGTGAAAAACACGCCAAATGCACACAATGCAATGAAGACCGACTTCAGAATCGTCATAGGACGAATGTAGGAGGATCTCGGCATGGCGCTGAGATGTTTCAGTCACGACGTGGTATCCACCTAAATGGATGCGAAGTGACACTGTATATTTATATACCAGAAAGCATGAATGCTACCATCGTCCTGTTGTGACTATGAAGCGGTGATGTAGATGGCATATGATAAGCAAATCAACGTTTGCATGGGATATCCTCTCTTTTAGTATGCTTTATAATAATAAAATATTTGTTTAAATTTTAATTACGTCATGTGTACTGCATAATCAGGAAATAATTTTTGAAGGTCTAGTGGAATATATTTTTCTGTACCACATTTTTATTTCAGTTAAAACCAAGAATACACGGCGCCAGATCCCAGAAAACGACTTTCTTCATGCTAATTTCTAGTCTACGAATTTATTAAACTTGTTCAGAAACTCTTTAAGCAATTTATTTGATCTTGTATCTAACTAACAAACTAACTCCATGGAGCTGAGAAACCACAAGTCGTTCAACTGAACAACAATTTTGTAATGTTTTATGGAACCCGAAGGTTCTTTGCCGTGTTCACGATAGCCCTCCACTGGTCCCTATCGTGACTCAGACCATTTCAGTCTCTAAGATCCATTTGAGTATTATCCACCACCTACGTCTTGCCGTTCCTAGTGGGCTCACCTCTTCTGACTTTCCAACCGATATCCTATATTCATTACTCCTCTCCCCCATTCGTGCTACATGCCCTGCCCATCTCATCCTCTATGACCTCATGATTCTAATTATCCTTGGCTAAGACTTTATTTCGAATTTACTGAAAATCGTTGTCTGTAGCTGAGACTACACAGCGTCGAAGCACCTGAAGACTGGAGCAGTAATTTTCTTTAAAATGTAAGGAAATTCCATAGGACTACACGGTGTCATATCCCAGAAGTAGGTACTGTTTAACCACACCGATGATGTCTCCACCTTATCGTGGTGGTGGGGTTTGAGTGCTCCTGGGACCCTGAGAGTTATGCCGGCGGTAGCGTAGCTACTGGTAGGGTCACACACGCCGGACAGGTCAAGGGATAAGAGCCAGAGGAAGAGGAATACCGTGGTCCTCCAGGTTGGGGGTTGGACGTGAAGCTAACAACCTCACACCGTAAAAACTAAATTCTTCAGAAACCAGATCATCAGCCTCGGATGGATGGAGAAGAACTGAAGCAGACTGTTCAGGAGGCCAAAGCTCACCCTGAGCTGTAGCGCCAAGGGGAAGGAAGGTACTCTTTAAAGTCTTCATTGGTAAAGAGGCGGAATAGCTGGAGAAGGGTACTTTGTTGTCTGTAAAATTATAAACACATAGCTTGAGGCTTCACGTAGTTCCTGTCTTTTGTAATTCACATGGACATTATGGTCACGTGGTTTTGGACTGTTGACCGGATTTATTGCACACTTAATACAACTTGTTACTACACTTCACAAGCCACTATATGACACACTATGTCTCCTGCAACATCTCGACTGCCGTCTCAACAGACTCCCTCAATTATTCTTTCAGAGTCGAGTCAGAGTCAGAGTCAGAGTTATTTTACGACTGACGGTTTGCCGCCAATCAGTTCGTCTTGGCGACAAACCCCTTGAGACTGACGATCAGAGACATTTCTTTTCAACTGAACCCTTGGGGCAATTGTTCTTATATAACACCCTCTCTGACGAGAAAATGAGTTTGTCTCTTATGAACACACTTGGTCTTTCGTAAAGGGCACGTATCGCACAAATAGCATGTTATTGAAAATTCTTCATTTTGCAACCCAGAGGTATTCGAACCGACCTTCACACGCTATATAGCCTCGGGGCGGCCCCAGTAGAAATCGCCGTTTCCTAACAATTCCTCTATTGTTATATAGGTGTGTTTTCCTCGCCGTTGCATAGAAAAAGGTAGTTCTATTGTTGCGTGCGTGTTCATTTCCGCGGGAACCTGGGTGGTTAGAGAGTTTTCTCAACTGCTAGTAATGTTAAACTTATTTAAATGTAGTTTTCCAAGGAAGCGTCAATAATAATGAGGATAATATTCCGTGAGGTATCCAGTTGACTGGAAATGGCCCTGTGTAATCAGATCTTTGGGTTTGAATGAAAGCTTGCTTTTGATGCTGATGAAACCATGTTACGATGATTCCATTCAAGCCATATGTTTTCCTGCGTGCGTGACGAATCTGATAACTTAATTAATGTCTTAATTAAAGAGAATATAGTACAGCGTTTGCTATCAAAGATCTCACCAACAAGACACACTTCCATTAATTGGAAAATGTGCGTTTGTATGAACTAGGTGTGTCAGCAACTGTATGTTGGGATGAAGCGACCTAATTATCATAGCCTCCTGATAAACAAGAAACACCGTACAAAAGACACTCGTTTTTAATTAATATCTCCATAATTAATTCCACAGAACAGACTCATACTTGAGAATATCATAGTCGCTCAAGTAGTAGATAAATTACCACCGTTTTATGAAACCCCAAGGGTTCATTACAGTGTTCACAAAATCCAGCCATTGATCCCTATCCTGAGCCAGACGAATCCATTTCACACCCTCCCATCCTCTGTACTAAGATCTTCTTCAATATTATACTCCAAAACTCCTATCCAATGGGAACCGGGGGCTTTTTCCGGGGGGTTAAAACGGCCGGGGCGTAAAGCTGACCTGACATCTCCAGCTAGTGACGAGGACAAGAAAATTTGGATCTATACATTGACCCTTCCATATGCCTTCGTGGCGTAGTGCTTAATTTATTAAGCACAGGGACAACTTTTTACCTCCCATCTATGCATAAATCTGCCAAATAGTATCTTTGTCTCAGAAACTCACACTAAAACTATGTATGCACGTCTATTTTCTCCCATGTGTCTACAAGTCCCTCAATTCTTAACCCTCTTGATTTCATAATTCTGATAATATTTTGCGAGGAGTTCATATTATGAATCTCCTCCATAGGCGTGTTTGTCCAGCCTCTTATTACTTTATCCCTCATAGGATCAAATATTCTCCTCAGCACCGTTTCTCAGCCATCCATAAGTATATGTTCTTTCCTTCATGTGAGAGACAAAGTTTCACATTTATAATTACCTCCATGTAAGCTAGTCCTTCTTTCGAAGCTGCCAGTCACTCAGCTGCTCAGGAATATCGCAACATTTTAAGGAACCTGAAGGTCCATTGTCGTATTCACAAGAGCCCGCCACTGGTTCCCACTCTGTACTTCCATGCGCTTGGCTGGAGTAGGGGAAAGTGTTAGCTTCCAGGGTTTAGAATCGGTGTTACAGTCATCTACGTTTCCGACTGAGTAATCCACTAGAGGCAAGTATCACGCGAAGTATCACGCGAATAGCGCATGAGAACACTGAAGTGAAGTATTAACAGTAATATGGACATTGTCAGAAGCAAAGAGATGCAGAAATTGAATAACGAGACAGCGTTCATAAGACAGTATTTCCCATGCACTGAGGTTATTAGGTTGGTTAGTTTCTTACTCATGGTTCGTACTTCCGGGGATAGGAGAGCAGATCGCATCCTCCCGTGCTCAGTGATCCGTGGCACACTGTCTGCGCGTGACGCATGTCAGTTGTTTCAAGGAGCTCGCCGTGAGAGGGAGCGTCATGTTAGGAGGTTCGTTTAAGATACGTTGAATTAATATGGCGGTCGTGTTCCATGTGTGTTTTTTCATATTGTGCGTGTTTACGTCATTGATAACAGGTAAATGCAGGTTTGATTTTATTTATATACATATTAGAATATATATGTAACTTTGACTGTAACAGTTGTTCATATACCGTACTAAACTTCAAGTGATGGGAAGGTCCCGCCTCCTTTTCACGAAGTGAGTCAACAAGTGCGTTAGTCTGTAATGCGGAAACAAGGAGCGGCGTGATGTGATGTCATTTTATTTGAATGGTTGTGAACAAGCGTAATGACAGTACATGTGCGAACACAACATTTGCATATTATTAACATCATTTTCGGCAGGACGTCTCCATTTCTCTCATGGGTTTTAGGGTTGTAGTTTTTAGATACTTCTGTACTGCATCTCATATCTGGAAAACCCCTGCAGTCAAGAGGCGGGATAGCTAAGTCGGTATAGTGGGGACTGGAGACATAATTTGGGGTTCGCGTCCCGGCAGGGAAAATATTTATCTCTACTCCACAGTGTCCAGACCGGCTCTGGGGCCCACCCAGCTTCCTATACAATGGTTTTTTTCTCATTGGCGGTACAGCCCTAATTTGGGCCTAGGCCTACCTCCTTGAAACCCTACGTCCTATACAATGGTTACCGGGGGATTTTTTTCCCCGTGTGTAATGCCGGGGCATGAATCACACCACTGACCTCCATCTAGTGCCAAGGTCGAGAATGGTGGAGCTATACCTCCACTCCCCAATGTGTGTTTATGGCATTGTGCGTAATTAATTAAACATAGGGGCAACTTTTTTCTTTGCAGAGATATTTAATAAGTTGGGGAATGAACAACTAGCGTGTCAATTTCCGCACGTTCGTGCCATTTTATTTAAGTGTCTGTGACAGTTCATTTCAGTGGCCTGGCATTGTGATAAAAGTTTGCTGCTTGGATATTACCCATTGGGTGTAGTTGAAATATGTCTACAACGTTTCGTATCCTTCTTCAGGGACAGCAGCCATGCCCTTTACACAATGTTTGTAGTCGTTTTTACTGACCAAATATCAATAGTCCCAGACTGCGTGCACGAAATATACATATCGTTGGTTTTCCTGTCTCAGATGACATCAAGGATACTGTTTATGCATTCCAAATAGCTAGTAGTGGTGACCTTTTTGGCATGCAGTGCGGTATTTCCCCATGATCTTAAAGTATGCGGTATTCTGGTTCTAACAGGGGTGACCAAGGAGACTTTCTTACGGGATGTGATGCTTGATAGACTATACCGACGTTTCGGTGGAACCCGATGCCTCCATTATCATAGCAGAAGATGGAGTGATAACCGCCTGTTATACTATGTAGGATCTAAAGAGAAGTTAGGCAGTTTGAGCTTCGTAGAAACTGCACGCTTCGTAAAAACTGCACGATGTCTTAGGCCTATTATTATTATTATTATTATTATTATTATTATTAGAGGGGGTGGGTTTCCCCATGCACTTAGACCAGTTATTGGTCCATTGTGCGTCCCCCTTTAATTTCTACTGTCGCCATACCCTACCGATAGTGGTGCGTGCCATCAGCGCCGTTCAGCCAACGAGGTCGGCCGTCGGTACCTGATATTTCCGCCATCTACCAGAGGCATTGGAAACTACTTGGGTGGGAAATTGTTGCCTAATTTTGCTCAGAGGTCTTCTAGAGACATGAGGATCTTTTACGTGCCGCAAATCTACGACACGGAACAAGTCCCTCCCGGAGGACTTGTTCCCTGAATTTTTCCGCCCTTAAAAATTCCAGGACCCCCGCCGGGTTTGAACCCGCGTACCTGGAGTTATGAGGTGGGAAGGTTACCCCTAGACTACGGAGGCCGCTATGTCTTAGGCCTAAGTCAGAGGATCACAATCGAAAATCAGCAGTGCTTTGTTTTAAGCCAGCGTTTTCGGTGAATCGACCACGACAAGGTTTAACGTTTTCGGTTCGCAAGGTTTCCCCATGGGGGCACGGGGTAGCGTAGTCGGTTGAGGCTACATGGCGGAAGGTTGCGGGTTTGATTCCCGAGGTCAGTGGATTTTCCAATTAACGTAATTCTTCCAACCGTAGTATGGCCCTGGTGTCGACTCACCCTCTAACAGAAATGAGTACCAGGAATCTTCCTGGGGGTAAGGGACGGCTGGCACGTACGGCTGACAATCTCACCGCCATCTATGAGCCGATTGCCTAGAAAATATGGGAACCTTGACGTCTCCCAAACGTACTGGCCTCCACGGTTTGTTACAGCGATAGGTTTAAGGTTTACCCACGAGGAGCACGCTAAAAACAAATTGGTTACCAGTTATTTATTTTTATGTATTCGCAATCGAAGTAGCCAATCACTGGCCGCGGTGTCTAAGGCATGAAATGTCTTCGCCCTCTCAAACATTGGGATCATGGGTTGGAATCCCACTTGAGGCATAGATGTCTGTTCCCGTTTCTTATGTGTCTGTTGTCCTGTGTAGGTAGCAGAATTGCGACGGGCTGATCACTTGCCCAAGGGGTCCTGCCGACTGTCTGTAAAATCCATAGTTCCATATTAATTGTGATGGGAAACAGGCCAAGGGGACGTAATACGAAACGCAGAAGAAGATAATCGACGTAGGCACTGAGTTCAAACTCTGCTTCACAAGAACCCGATGAAGCTAACAACGAACTTCCAGTTAGTATAATAAAGAGACATTTAAACTGATGCATATGTTGCGGTCCTCGTGTTGACTGAGTGACACCTTACATTCACGCCCCAGGTATGCGCCACGCACCACTTGTGAACGTGTCCTGTCTGCNGGGGGGGGGGGGAACTTGTGCGTTTCCAAATAGAGAAACTCAAACACGGCCTGTGTCACCAGCCTAACATTGATTTCATTTACTATAGCTTTCACAATGATACTTCTGCGTCATACCTAAGTGAAAGAGAGCTCTCTGTAAACAACTTGCAGGCCGCGCCATAGCTCAAGCGGTTAGTCGCTGGCTTCCCACCGCGAAGGCCCGGTTTCAAATCTGGGTGTGGTCAAGTGGGATTTGTGGTTGACAAAGTGGCGCTGGTGAAGGTTTTCTCCGAGTACTTCGGTTTCCCCTGCCAATCTTCATTCCATCAAACTCTCATCATAATCACCCGGGCAGGTACAATAGGCCAGTCAGTGGCCGCCGTGCCGAGTGGACCCAACTGGACTCCACCCCCCCAATATGCGAATTTAAAAACGAAAAAGAGGCGGTGGAGGTCCATAGGGTTGTGAGACTTTGAGGCTTCCACATATTCTAGACAGTCGGTTCACAGATGGTGGTAAGGTTGTCAGCCTCACGTGCCGGCCGGCTGAGTCGACCCCAGGGCCAAAATGCGGCTGGAAGTATTAGGCCAATTGAAAAATCCGGTGAACTCATCGGGTATCAAACCTGCGACCTTCCGCCTTGTAGCATAGTGCATCAACCAACTGCGCTACCGTGTGCCCCATAGAACATCCTAGATTGGTGTGATTGTAACACGTTTGGTTTATGTTCGGGATGTGCTTGGTTCGAATCTCCGTCCTGACACTCGCTGTCGTGAATGAGGCTTTTTTCTGGCCTTCCAGGCAAATCCCGGTTTAGTAAAGCGATTAGGCCACGACCGTATCCTTCCAAATCACTTCCAATTCATTATTCGCTAATCATCCTATATGTCTAGTCAGGCAACTGATAAACAAAAAACAAAACTCCATTTTCTGTAGTTCGCAAGCGAACTATTCCGACTGAGTGACCGCCGCTTGTCGGCGAAGTTAGTGCCAAGTTTAGAGGCTAGAAAGTGTCGCGTGGTCAGCGCAACGGATCCCCACGGCCGTTAATCTCGGTGCAACTGATAGCGTCGTTAAATAATCCACAATAAATAACGGAAGTGTTTAGACCGTATTAGAGTGACGTTCCTTGGTCGTTAAAGTGGGAAATTACCTAGGAAGTCGTCGTAGCCGTTTAATTATGTTAATGGATTAACTGAGTTTCATACAGTCCGTATAGCGGTTGCCTACGGGCTGGACGACCGAGGGGTCGGAATTCGAGTCCCGGTAAGGTCAAGAATTTTCTCTTCACCACTTCGTCCAGACCGGCTATGTGGTCCACCCAACCTGCTATCCAATTGATACCGGGGGCTCTTTCCCCGGGGGTAAAGCGGTCGGGGCGTGAAGCTGACCACTCACCTCCAACTGGTTCTAAGGTCAAGAAAGTGTGGATCTATACATCCACTCCCCACAAACGCCTTTATGTCGTAGTGCTTATTTTGTTGAGCACAGGGACAACTTTACCTTTTCTACAGTGATTAACAGGGAGTCGGTATAGCGACTGGCTGGACGACCGAGGGGTCGGAGTTCGAGTCCCGGTATGGTCAAAAATGTTCTCTTCTCCACGTCTCCCACACCAGCTCTGAGGCCAACCCAGCCTTCTATCGAGTGGGTATCGTGGACTCTTTCCCCGAGAGTAAAGCGGCCCGGGGCTCGAAACTGGTCACTCACCTCCAGCTAGTGCCGAGGTCAAGAAATTGTCGATCTGCACAGCCACTCCCCCATACGCCTTCATGGCGTAGTGCTTAATTAGTTAAGCGCAGGGGCAACTTTACCTCACCTTTACAGTGATTAACAGTCGAATTATGAGCTGGGGTAGTTAATTTAATTAGTGACTGGGTTGGACGACCGGGGAATTATATTCGATTCCAGGTGGAGACAACGGTTTTTTATACAGATTGTGGTCTTCTGAGTTGTGTCAATGTATTCTTGTAGGCAGATACCTACGTTTCAGAAGAACATGATGCCGCCATCTTCAGAGTTGAATAGTCTAGGGCGAAGAATTACATATATACTGTTCTCATTGGCCCGGCGTCGGCTGTTCTTGTTACGACGGCGACATGAAGGCGTTTAAGTGAGAAATTACTGACGCAGAAACAAATCAACCAAAAAGCAAATTTATTATGAACCGCCCCTCGAAAATTATAGACATGAGGAAAATTGGTTATAAGGATGACTCGAGTCCTGCCAGCGAATCATGTGCTCTTGCAGACGCGCCAGTTGTTGCAGAAGCTGAAATATGGGAGGCTTG